AGGATTCCCGACTAGTGGAGAATGTCAAGAACCGTCCTTCTTTTCAAGAAGGGTGAAGGGGAGGATCTTCGAACTACCGTCCAATATGCCTGCTGAGTGTGCTGTACAAGCTTTCCACAAAGATTATCCTCGCACGCATATCTAGGACACTGGATGAAGCCCAACCCTAAGAACAAGCTGGATTCCGCAAGGGATTCAGCTGCGTGGACCACATCCCGACGGTTTCGAGAGTCATAGAAGTCTGCCGGGAGTACCGACTGCCTCACGTCCGTCTTCGCCGACTACGAGAAAGCCTTCGACAGCGTCGAAACCAACGCCATCCTGTCAACTAGTCGATCAAGGAGTGGACCCAGCCTACGTGAGGACACTAGCCAACTGCTACAAGGACTGTACAACAACGATGCAGCTGTTCCATCGCCCCCTGACCATTCCATTCGGGAAGGGGGTCCGACAAGGCGACACAATTTCGCCGAAGCTGTTCACCGCGGCCTTGCAGTGGGTGATGAAGTCACTGGACTGGGACGAGAGAGGCATACGAGTTGATGATAGATTCCTGTCTAACCTTCGTTTTGCAGACGACATCGTTCTCTTCTCGAGCAGTATCACCGAAGCAGAGACGATGCTGAAGGAACTAAACGAAGTAGGGATAAGATCGAATTGCGAAAAATCGGAAGAAGACTCAGTTCATGAAGAACGCCTTTTGCGAAGATGCAGAAATGCAACTAGAAGGCACGCCTATTATGGAGACGTCTTCTTACGTGTATCTCGGACGTTCGATGAACATGGTGAACGACTTGAGGGAAGAACTTAACAGTAGAAGAAGAGCACTGGGCCGCCTTCGGGCCTCTGAAGGAAGCCACCGACCAACTGACGGACCCTGAGCTTCGTGCCCACCTGTTCGACTCAACCGTTCTACCGGCGCTCTGCTACGCAGCTGAGCCTTGGGCTGACACAGTAGCCACGTCGAAAGCCTTACGGACCACCCACAGAGCGCTCGAGCGCAGTCTTCTGAAGATGACCCGATGAAAGCAACATCTAGTCGGAATTCGCAGTACGGATGTGAGAAGAATGTCCCGTCTTCGTGACCCAGCGGAATACGTTGCGAAAGCAAAGCGGCCGGTCACATCATGAGAAGAATAGATAACAGATGGACACTAAGAACATCTGAGTGGACTCCTCGCGAAGCCAAACTCCCCGAGGAAGACCACCAACGAGATGGGCAGACGTGTTCGTGGAAAAGATGGACCAGCTGAGAAATCAGCTGGATACGATTATCGCACCTGGAACTCGTGGACGCAGCCACCGACGGCAACCAAGAAGCGTGGATGTCTGAAGCGAGGGACAGGGACAAATGGCAACTTTTGTGCTGGGGCCCGCACGCCACGTGAGGACGGGTCATCTAAGTTCTAAGTAAGTAAGTATTTTAGCCTTATAAAAAAGTTTTCGTCGTGCTTCTAAGCCCGCGAAAATTTTAGGAAGCATACCAAATTGCCAAATTACCAAAGCATACCAAATTCGGAGTGTGTGGCTGATACCACGCACCTTCATTGAAAAAAAAAATTTTTGTCGCCTCCCCCCCCCCCTCCCCGAGCCGAAATTCTAGGTACGCCACTGACATACTCCTTTGTATGTGAACCGAAGAGGCTGAAATTTTCTCTCCTAAAAACAAGCCACGGCGCAAAAGATAGGCTACTTTTCCAAATGAATCAGTGGTCCTTCTATCGATTTATTGATTTGTTCACTTACATCTGAGAAAATGAACGCTTATCAATCATCAAATCATTTCCCCAAGTAAAGTAGAAAGGGGCGGTCAAGACCATTTACATTTCGCAATGAGGGCGAGGTGGTTTCAAAAACAGAGGCGATCAAGAAGGAAGACAATTACTGCGGGTACCACGACCACTGCAATGCAAACCAGGAGCAGAAGCAGGAAGAAGGAAAGAGGTTACGAGAATCAAGAATGAAAAGAAAGAGACGAATTGTGAGTTACAAACCTCTTTGATGACCATGCTAGGCCCATATCCGCTGTCCCGGCTGGGCCGGGGATGTCGGCCAGTACCAAATAAATCTATCTACCATTCTTGGGGTGGCGAGCAAGAGGAACGATAGCTGGCGGGTGTCAATAGCTCGCGCATCTTTCACCTTCACTTTCGCCCATCAGCACGCAAAGATTCAGAGCATTTCCTTTTATTATGCTTTTAGCTGAGCAGGAGAATCAGGCCTAAGGCATACCTCACACGATTTTACTAAATCGCAACATCCATGCGACTTGGCGTTCTGCCAGATTTTCATAGATTCGTCGTGGACAATTTTCGAAATTCACAAATACGCCGTAGACGATTCCTGGACATACGCAAAGCGATTTTGTAGACGCTCACACACCACACCGCATTACACGTATTTTTGGAAAACTTGCGCTATTGTCTGAAATGCGTTTTTTCAAGGAAATTTGAACAGAATGTAGCGTCATACGCTTTGAAGGCAGCGTCCACCCAGAATTTGGCCTCCCATGTTTCCGTCATTCTGGGGCCTTTCCGTGGCCCTGATTACAGTTCCGAACTTCAAACTCTCCAAAATTAACAAAAAAACCCGGTTCTTAAGGACCCTTTCTGAGGGCGCGACGAGTTTCGAATCGCTCGTCCCCGTCGGCAGGCCAGCGAAGAGAGGCTGCAACTGCATGGGTGAAGTTGCAGAAGTGTGCAGCTTCTGCTCACTACCATGTTAATACGTGTCGGGAGGCAACCCTGGCTGGGCGGAGTTTGATATCAGACTCCGCCCACCCAGGGACTTCCAGGCCTCTTATCTCCATTCAGAGACAATTAGAAGACCGTACCAAAGCAGATGCCCCTTTTCTGGGGCCTACATTCAGGATCGACACTAACCAGAGGTTAGTGTTAGGGGGTTAGGTCTAGCCTGGACACTGCCTTCATGAGAACATTACATCAAACGAGAAAGGTGTGAGTGAGTGTGAGTCAGTTTTCTAATTCGTTACTGTAGCTGACTCATGGAGTTACAGGGCGTGTCAAGATGCGACGTTTGAGAAGCTGAGAAGAGGAGACAAGGACCGACAGTAACCACAGCTGGCTCTCGACTCCGGGCCCCGTCGACTGTCTGCCAGCCATCCCTGCAGCCTCGCTTCCCTTCGCACATAGATCTCATTGCTCATAGTATTCATATACTGCCTTCTGCTTATTCCAATAAACTATTATTATGCTTCATCTGTACAACCTCGGACATTTACTGGTAGCAGCGATGGACTTCAAGGCGAGGACGGGCGAGACAGGTAGGGTTTTCGCCAATTTCATTATTATTGTGTCCTTCCTCTCTTCTCTTAGTTTAGCTCAATGAGCGGGAGCTTAGTTTTTCTTTCAATTCTCTCAAAAACCCAAAAATACCGCCCACAATTTTGATTTTCTTTTGCCTCTGCTTCGCTTGCATTATGTTGTGCTTTTAGCTTTGCGCATGCGCTGTTTTCAATTTTTGCCGTCTTCTATGAAGACGTAAATTCTCCGGAGTGTAAATCTTTGCCGCATTTGTTAATGAGGCTGGCACCCTTCCATCGCGCATTGATCGATTAGCCTAGTAATTCCTCGGTGACGCGTCAGTAATTGATGCAGGTCATTAGGTGTGCACACATAAAAGTTAGCGTACAATTATTTCGCTTGGTGGTAAGTTTCGCGGCAAAGTTTTCCAGTGTAAACGCGTTGTATGTTTGTTAAAAATGTGCTAGGTGCCATGCCTCTCGGGCCATTTTGCCCAGTTTTCACACGTAACTCATTCGCGCTATCCATCAATTGATCGTGCCATTTGCAGTCGCCGCACTCGCCCGCTCCCATTGTGCAAAACCACGCCGGTTTCGTGAGCAGAAGTGACCCCCTTCCCCTCTTTCGAGGTTCGAGGGGCGGAGACCCCTCCCCCTCCAAGAAACGACGGACAAGCGCTGCACACCGGCTTTGCAATACTTTACTTTGGGGTTGTTGGTCTCCGTACGATATTTCTACCACATCTGCAGAGCCGGGCCCGGAGAGGAATTGAATCTCTCTTGGGTCGCACGCGAGACAAGAGTCATCGCGCTGCGCCATCCGCCGTTCACGGGTAGCAAGGCGTTCGAGCTATATATACGGCCGCAGCGTCTGCTGCGTATGTTTCACTGGTGCGATCGGAGCGTTACTATGCAATAATTCGCACGGATCCTTCGAACTTTGGCTAAAGCTACTAAATTTGGCATGGATATTTGATAATCGCATATTAATGTGTTGAATGTGCTTTGGCTCTCTTTCTATGGAATTTTGGGATTCAGAACGTTTTCAAACGTCCATTTTCTATCCTTTCAGGAATTCGCCAGTTGAAGGAGTATTCACAGTCCGTCTCAGTTTTAGAACGATAGTTCTATTTTACATCGAACGTGAAAGTAAAGTAGATAGAGTTCGTTGGAACTTTCAGTTTTGGCTGGATTCCGTTTTCAGCTTTTCTTTGTCTGGTTAGATGACTTCGCCGATGCAGCTGGATCCTTTTGTGATTTTGGCTTCGATGACGAGGAAGAAGTCAACAGCTGCATGCCCTTTCGTCTCCGTCAATTTTGTAAACGCTTCATTTGACGGTCTACAGTAATCTACTTGACTAAAAAGGACTCGAAGACGCAGCTGGCCGGCCGGCATTCAACTTTTTCGACTTCAAGACTTCTTGCCACTCGCCTTCAAACTGTCGCAGCTGCACAGTGACCAATTTCCTCATCCATTCCACTTTTTTTATAATTTTCCCCATGTCGCAGCTGCAAGATCACCTACTTTTTCCTACGTACATCTGGACATCCATGGAACGGCTATCAGATCCCTCCCCTTCCAGTCAGTCATGTTGCCTTCGTTGGGCTCAGCACTCGGCGGTTCATCTTCCTTTTCCTCCTTCATCAAGTTTTCGCTTGTCTCACTGTTATGCGACTCTCCGTCCGTAATGTTGCGCGTCATCAAGTCATTCCTTTCTCAGAGGTATTCTTTCAGTTCATGCCTTCAACTCGCTCTCGTGCGGACACTCGGGCCAATCTTGCCCAGTTTTCACACCCAAATTCTGCCACTCCGCCGTCGCAGGTCGCAGCCCCTGCAGCTCCGATCTCAGCGTCGTTGGCAAATGTGACTGACGATGGCCTGATCTCAGGCCGCGACGCCAGGGAACTGCGCGACGCAACGGCACAAGCTATCACTGAAGTATGGACGGATAGCAGGAACGTGGCAGCCAATCTGGCCGAGAAGATCAACGCCAACAATGCCTCGCTCCTGGAAGACCTGAACCAGTCCTTCGCGGCAATGAGTCATCGTATCGACGGTCGTTCACCCCATATTACTACCCAGATCCCAATTCCATCTCTTCCTGATTTCAGCGGTGCGGACGATGACCCGACTCAGTTCTCGGACTGGCTCTCCCGTGTAGAGGACATCTTCGATATGCTGGCAACTCCACTGTCTTCCGCGACGAAAGCCAAGTTGGTGAAAGGTCACCTTCAAGGCCTAGCCAGGGAGAAAGTCAACCAACTTACTCCTGAACAGCGGGACAATTACGAGTTACTGGTCGCTGAACTGAAGAAACGTTTCGAGGGTCCACATCGCCGTTACCTGGCTCGCCAGGCTCTGACAGGTTGCCGCCAACAGCCAGAAGAATCGTGCTTTGCCTTCGCCAATCGTCTCCTCCGTTTGGTAAGGGCTAGCACAGCGGGACTGGATCCGCATTCACAGAAAGAACGCCTTTTGGATGAGTTCGTCCCGACTGCAAACGGACATCAGGTTTCATGTACGTAATAGCAACCCTTCTTCTTTTCAGAAAGCCTTAGATGCAGCGGCCTCGGTTGAGCAATACCTGGCAGAAGTTACATCCGATCGCCTTATTACCCCTTCGCTGGCTTCAAAACCATTGGACATCAAGACAGTGAACTTTCGGCCTTCCTCTTTTACTCGTTTTCGTAGTCGTACACCATCTCCTATGGTTCGCCAACGTAAACCATTCCAGGGTCGCTGGCGCGGACGCAGTATGGACAATACCAATGGTCGACCTATTCCTAGTCGAATTTTCTGCCATTCGTGTGGTGGTATTGGACATATGGCTCGACAATGCTCATCTTCACGTCCTAAAGCCGACTGCAAACGGACATCAGGTTTCATGTACGTAATAGCAACCCTTCTTCTTTCCAGGAAGCCTTAGATGCAGCGGCCTCGGTTGAGCAATACCTGGCAGAAGTTACATCCGATCGCCTTATTACCCCTTCGCTGGCTCCAAAACCATTGGACGTCAAAACAGTGAACTTTCGGCCTTCCTCTTTTACTCGTTTTCGTAGTCGTAAACCATCTCCTATGGTTCGCCAACGTAAACCATTCCAGGGTCGCTGGCGCGGACGCAGTATGGACAATACCAATGGTCGACCTATTCCTAGTCAAATTTTCTGGCATTTGTGTGGTGGTATTGGACGTATGGCTCGACAATGCCCATCTTCACGTCCTAAAGCGTTGGAAACAGGTAAGCGTTTCAATAATCGTTTTCCTCGTCGTTTTCCAACTCGTTCTTTGCCATCCACATCTATGTTGAATGTGTCCTCTGACGATACTCATGAACTTTTGGAAGCCCGCAAACAAATTCAGTCTCTCTCCCTCTCGCTAAAAGAAAAACAATCTGCTCTCGATAATTCTGATGCGCAAATTTCAGCCCTCATGAAAAGAAACGAAGAGCTTGCGAATTCCAATTTTGGCAGATCTGCTTCTTCTTCCTCCAAGTCCATTCTCTAACGGAACCTCAGCCTTTTGATTGTTTGCTTGATGCTTTTCTTTCCTTCATGTTTCACTACTTCTCTTAGCGCGCCAGCGTGGCTTTGTCCTTATGATTCTTCTGATGTAATTGCTCGCATACCGCTTTCCTACAATTGCTCGCGCATCATCCCTCAGACTAGCACTCATCCATCTCCCATGGCAGTCCACGCTTTCGTGCGAACCCTCAGCGTTATGACACTCCAACGCACTTGTGTAAAATAGTAACCAAAAGCGTGGACTACTATGTCAACTGTTTCGGCGCGCATAGCGAAACTCATGCCGAGGTAACACGAAGTCGTCTCCATTGAGTCTTGTAAACACTTGGTTCTCCATCACAAATGTAAGCACGGTCTCCTAACGGCGCATGACAATACGGATTTCTGGTCGACGACGCATTAGCTACAATTTACCTGGCCTTCCGCTCCGTTTGGCTGCTGCGTCACTCATCGAGCGTCTGTAACTAACTGCTATTTGATCAACACGGTTATCCACACTCGTCACGGCTCCGAATTCCCCGACTCCACGGTGGGCGATCTTCACAACTGTTCATATTCCTCCGGCAATTGCGTTCTACCGGACGGATCCGCTCTCATCTGGACGCCTAACACGGAAGATTCGTGCCAGTACGTCTCCATTTCCAAGATGAGCGGCCACCTGCTCAGCGATATCTGGATTAGCGACTCCAAGGAGTTCGCCCTCTCCTGGCACGAGGGCAGTCCTCAAATAGAGGATTGTGGTAGAACGCTCACCTTAACAGATCAAGGATAAGCCGTCATAGCAAAACGTCGCATGGTCCGCTCTGCTCCGCCGGTCGGCGCCGTTCTATCCAATCAACCTGCAGCACAGCTCTTAGCCGTCGAGGACAACGTCAAATCGGCCGTGTCAGCTCTCCTTTATCACGCCATGACAGCCTTATGCGACCGCAATAATCTCCTCGCACTCTCTCTTCACGCGTCTCTTTCCAACAATCCTACATCTACCATTCGCTCATTGCTCGATCCTGATGACGTTGCTGCATCCAACTTGGGAAACGGCTTAGTGCAAATACACGTTGCTTATCCGTACCACCTCAAGCCTTTTCTATCCTACCCTTCAATGATACGTGCTTTTCCAAACCCCGCGTAAAACTTGTCCTCAAAACTGACGTCACTCTACAACACTTCATCGATCCCACTACTATGGCCATTTCCGGCGAGACCAAGGAGACAGATTGTTATTCGGTCCCACACTTCTTTTTCTCACGTTTTGATAATTTCCTTCGTTTCGACACCGTCTCTGGTCGCTTCTTCCCCATTCCCCGCTTGGAAACCATAGGATCTCCTCCTTCCGAGTTCAACGGCTTAGCATTAGCCATGCCTCTCACAATTTTCCACAATCTAGTTCTCACAAATCTTAGCGAGCTCACACAAGATCACCAACTCACGGAGCTATGGTCCACCGTCAATCAAGAGCAATTTCTTCATTTTAACCAGCCGTCATCTCAATACCACAGTGTTCCACAAGAAGTTGCCTCCGAAACCTCCTCCTTCTGGTCTTTCATTGTCGGGAAGTGGTCACCGTTCGACGTATGAGTCACAGTCTGTTGTTTCATCACCACCGTTGCGCTCCTAAAATCACTGCTGATACTCTATTTCCGAATCTATTACCGCTCTCCTTCCACAAATATCTATTCCTTCCATTGCGCGCACTCAAGCGCAGTTCGTCACTCCTCATGTCCAAGAACTGCCCTCATCCACGTCTGCATTACCTTCGACGATCCACCCAGCTCTTCCTCCTCTCATTGAGTTGGCTGATTCGCTATAGACTCCTCTTCTGTATGGCCTCCTCGCGCTTCTCTTTCTTCTGTAAACGTACTGGCCCTCAACAGCGGGGAGCGCTTCTTCGTCGCTCAGATCCCCATCAAGGTCAACAACATCAATATTCTCGCGTTGGTGGATACAGGAGCAGCAACAATCACAATTACATCTCGTCAAACTGCTCCTCTGCTAGGCGTTTTCTCTCTTGTTCCAAGCGACATCCCCTCGGCTCTCGGTATGGCAGGCATCCCCATCAAGCTCATCGGTTGCGCTATGCTTCATTTCCATATCGGTTCCGTGCAACTCGATCATCAGGTCTATTTTGCGGAATCAGCCGGTATTCCTCAAAGTGCCGACTCTTACAACATCATCATGGGCAACGATCTCCTCTCTTGTTTGCCTCCTTGGACTATTCACTATGGCAGCCGAACATTTCACTTTGCGAACCGGAACGTCAACATACTTTCTGCCCAAACTCTGCTCGAGAATGCCGATATATCGATAGCAGTCCGCGCAGCTGAAACTACCGTACTCTCGCCAACGTCCGAAATCTTTGTTCCGTGTGCCATCGATTCCCCACATCCAGCATTCGTCTTGACGTCACAATCTGATCAGCTGTTGAACAAAAACGTCATGATTACGCCGGCAGTAGTCCATTCGGGTCGCATCCAGGTCTTGGCAACCAATCCGTCGTCCGAGGCCCAAATTCTGTACAAAGGTCAACAAATAGCTTTGGCATCACCGCTTTCCATCTGCGAAGATCAACCGTTGAATCTGTCGCGTCATTGCTTTTAGCAGCCAACCTTATGTAGGGACGCTAGCTAAGGGGCCTTCTTGCCCAGTTTTCAAACATAATCCCACCTTTCACGTAGACCTGTCTGAAGCCGAAGTGAACGAAGACCAGCGCCGCCAATTAGCAGAACTATTCGACGAATTCAGCGACCGAATATCTCAAGACACTTACGACTTGGGATCTTACGAAGTCACGCAGATTGTCATCAGGACCACCTCGGACATTCCACCTACACGTTTCCGTCCCCCTCGGATACCCGTCAAGTTTCAGAAGGAGCTGGACGACCACATCAATAAACTCCTTGGCTCCGGGCGCATCGTCGAAAGCGACACTCCTTGGATCCACAACACCGTTATATAACCATTCCTGATCACTACCCGCTGCCACGCATTGAAGACATCTTGGCCAAGATCTCCGGGCATAAGTTCTACACAACCTTGGATCTAGCGTCTGGTTACATGCAGCTTCTACTCTCACCAGAGAGTCAAGAGAAATGCGGCTGGGCAACGCATAGAGGTGTATATCAGTTTGTCTACCTACCTTTTGGTCTGAAGAATGCGGGTGCCTATTTCTCTCGCGCCATGTCTCGTATCCTAGCCGGTCTCGAGGACAATTGCCTCGCTTATCTAGAGACGACATTGTCATCTTCAACAAGGATTTTTCCAGCCACTTGCATTCACTACGTAAAGTCTTTTATCGCTTCCGTTCTTTCAACATCAAGGTTTCCGGCAAGAAGCTGCGTGAAATCGCAAGAACCACCATCACGTTCTTAGGCCACGAAATTTCCGGACAGCGATATTCTCCAGCAGATAGGAATCTCCGTGCTATCCGGGATTTTCCTACCCCTACAACAATCAAAGAGGTAGAAGGTTTTGTAGGTATGGCTAACTTCTTTCGCAAATTCATCCCAAAATTCTCCCTCACCGCTGCTCCACTGTACCTCTGTTGAAGAATAATGCTAAATTCACCTGACCTTGCTCAAGAAGAGTCTTTCAACCGTTTAAAAGCATCTCTGTCGTCAAAACCTTGCCTTGCTTTTCCTCAAGACAAAGAGTTTTTTCTTCACACAGACGGCAGCCAACTAGCAGTCGGCGCAGCGCTTTTTCAGAAACCAGATGACGAAGATCACCTAGTGGCCGTTGGATACTTTAGCAAGGCCCTCTCTGAAGCACAGCGTAAGTGGAGCCCTACTCACATCGAACTATTCGCTATCATCAGCGCCTTAAGGTTCTTTCGCGCAATCATTTATGGCAACCACACCACTATCTTTTCAGACCATCGCTCGCTGACCTTTTTGCTCTCGCACAATAAAACACACGATAATTTAGCACGATGGGTCGTAGAACTTCAGAGTTATGATGTTACTATCAAGTACCTCAAGGGCTCCTCGAACGTGGTTGCCGACGCTTTGAGCCGATCTGTTGATAAGCGCGTCCACTTTGAAGACGATGCTGACGACAGCAACGACATAGTCGAATTCCCGGTAAGTATCAACAAATGCGCGCCCCATCTTTACTCAGTTCGGACTCCTCTAGTTTACCTTACTAACACTCAAGTTCTCCGCCCTTACGACGCCTTAGTAGAACAGAAAAACGACGCTTTTTGTTCACCAATTATGACCTTTTTAGAAACACAGCGGTTTCCAGACAACATCTCCGATGAGGAAAAAGGTGCTTGGCTAAAAGTCGTCGAGCAGTGCGTACTTCGCAACAATGGCTGTCTGTACCACATCGACACAAAACCTCATTCTTCTCTTAAGTTTGAACGGTTGGTCGTCCCTGAGAAGCTACGCGAACCACTCTTTTTGGCGTTTCATAGTAGCCCCTCCGCTGGCGGCCATTTTCATTGGCGTAAGACTAGCCAAAATCGCACGCAAGTACTACTGGCCGCGAATGGCAGAAGATATCTATCTGCTAACCCGTTCATGCGAAGCCCGTCAGCGCAAAAGGGCCCAACAGTTGAACAGGGAACTCCTCATCACGGTTTCCAGCCAAGGTGTTTTTGAAAAAGTTTATATTGATCTCACAGGCCCGTTTCATACGTCCGACTCTGGCAACAAATACATCGTTGCCATGATTGACCATTTTACTGAATTTATAGTCGCTGCTCCTCTTCCTGACTGTACAGCGGTAACGGTTGCGCAAGCGGTTGTGACTGAATGTATCCTCAAATATGGCGCCACGACTCAACTTATTTCAGATAGCTTATTTCAAAGGCGAAGTGGTGACCGAGATTGGCCGACTTCTTCGCATCAATCGGTACTTCACCACTCCGTACCACCACGAAGGGAACGGCGCTTGCGAGCGGGTATTTGCTACATTCCACCCAATGCTCCGCACCTACATCAATGAGAACCAGTCGGACTGGGACAAGTACGTTTCTGCTTGCGCATTTATGTATAACACCTCAGTTCATAGTAGCACCAATAACACCCCATTTTTTTAAATGTTTGGTAGAGATCCTGTCTTTAACATAGATTTACTCCCCAAGCGCCTCCAAAAAGGGTACATGAACCAAGTTAAAAAATGTTTCACAATAGACGGTCCCGTTTTTACGTCGCCATGGCTTCCTGAACCAGAACAACAGGCTCTTGACGCAGCTAACGCATCTGAAACCCAAATCCCAGGCCGCACGCACACGATTCCGGCACCACCGGAGGTCACCCCTGCGCCTGAACCATCGCATAGGTATAACACTCGTTTCAGGTCTCGACGTACCTCACTTTAGCTATTCACGAATGGATCTATAGTATTATTCTGCTATCGATATTCACACTTCTATTTTAACATTTGCCTTTTTTTTCACCTCTCACCAATTTACACGTTTTCCTTTCATTAACCTGCTCACCTGAAACAAACTCACGCTTCTGTTTAACTCACCGGTCATTTTGGTTGCTTTCACTTTAGTGGACTATAAAAAGTTGACCTTTCCTCTCACTCACTCTTTATCTCTATGTTGTGTGGTGGTTGGATGGTGTGTGGTCGCGTGCTGTGTCGTGTCATTTCCAGAAACCCTTTGTTCAATCCAATACTTTCAGATTGTCAAACTTGAGTAAACCCGACTTGTACGTTCAAGCGCTGTTGCAATCGTAATGGGCGATCCACTCGGACAACCCGCAGTCAGGGAAGTCCCCTCCATCTTTTCGGGCCACTTGCCCAGTTTACACACGTGAAGCCATTGAAGAGTCAATGGACAACCCATCAGGGGAGTCCCACTCTTCTTCTCGGGCCATTTGCCCAGTTTACAAACCTGAAGCTATTCAAGAGCCACGCTCAATGGACGACCCGTCAGGGGAGTCTTCTTTATCTCATCGGGCCACTTGCCCAGTTTACAAACGTGAAGCTATCCGAGAGTCATGCTCAATATTAGAGTACGACGAAATGCCTTACTCTGCTCATGAACCAATCGCGCCCTTGGATACCACCACCAATCCATGTGATGCTTGCAGACTCACAGATTAGAGCTGGCTGTCCAGTTCTCGAACGTCGGGGCACTCCCAGCTCAGCTCAAGAGTCGATCGACCTTTCCATCAGTCTCGACGACTTCTCGTCCCCTGAAGCAGCTTTTATAACTAGTTCTCACATGGAGTATTCCGAGGAAGCACTTCTGGCATCGGACGACTCCTCTGGTTCTCCGCCATCGTCACAAGCCGCTTTCCAACCCAGCTCGTCGGCTACGACATTAATGCAAGCGCCTCCGGCGTCTCCCCCTCACGCCCAGCCTTTCTCCGCTGCTGGCTTTTCTTTCGGCTGGGAACCTCAGGAAAGTGATCCGGTCCCGGCTTCTCAGCCGTCCTCATCCCGCTTTGAAGAAGGCGCGTTTTCCTCGGAACCAGTAGCGATCGCATCTTTTTCCGCCTCGTCACAGCGCGGCAGAGCAGGCGCTAGGCGGCGCCCAGCTTCCCCACACTTTGGCGAAGGGGCGAGTTCTTCGAAACAAGCAGTACCAGCCCCCTTCTCTTCGTCATCCAGGTCTCGAGGCAGCACAACTGCACAGCGACCCGCCGGCTAGAGGCTCACACCAGTTTTCTACCAGAGGGTCGCGTCCGTCCTCCAGCCGCTTCAGGAGAGGCGCATGCTCACCAGAACCATCGAGAGGTTCATTCTCTTTCACTCCGTCACGTGCTCGCGGTCGCACGGCCCCTCAACATGCGCGGGAGCCTCGCCCAGCAGCCAGCGACGTCCAAGAGCGACCTACCTCTCCTCCACCTGGCCCTTCCGCTGCGATGGAGAGTGCCGTCTCTCTACATCGGCCCCGCGAGCTCCGTCCTCCAGCTATCCGCCATGTCAACAAGCCTGGGCCCTCTCAACTCCAGGAGTTTACGCCACCAGACTTTGACCACTATCTTATAAATCGTCACCCATGGACTCACTTGGTCAAACCCCGTCCATATAACCAGTTGATTGACCTTAACATTCCAGCAGTACCAGACCTGCCAGTAGACGACTACAGGCACCTTCCTTCGTCAGCCTATAACAACACGAAGTTCGCTCGTTCATTGTTCCTGCGCACTGGCTTAGGGCCGGACGCCCAGTTCACGAACTGCCGTTTATCGAATTTCAACATCTTGAAGGCACAATCGCCTTCCGTGACCACTCTCTGCGAATAATCGAGGATGTAGTGGACGGCGCCTATGATGAGTTCAGGGACCCAAGTGCAACCCACAAACGAACCACGGCGATACATGCTCAGGCCTGAGTTTTGGCGTGGAAAACGACCAGTCCTGTATCAGATAGTCTCCCTGGGATGGCGTTCTGGTATGATCCTCGAGTCTAAGGACATCTTCTTGCGGGTCCTGATCGGCGTGATCTCCACTGTATAATCATGGATAATCGGGCGCTTGACATCACCAACGGGCAGGAGGGATTCGACAAGGCCTCAGTTGCGATCAAAGGCTTCGTTTGGGTCTATGACGTCAAGCGGTCAAACCAAGCCTTCACTCACCCCGAAGAGGCGCTGACTCGGTCTCGCGTTTTCCGCACAACCGCGTTAAATAACACCTCGACCTATTTCTTCCGGATGTCGCACTTTGCCTTTGTACCGCCCCGCGAGCAAATTGACCGCGTCTTTGGCATCGTCATGGCCCTCAAAAGACATCAGCAAGGGGTCAACTCTTTTGAAGCCGTCTTTGAAGGCGCTCCGGAACCCGTCGTGGTCAACGCTGGCATCTGCCGTTTTGATCTGCTAATCATCCGGGTGTACCAGTTCCTTCTGGCGGACGCGCGTTACAACGTTTCCAGCGCAATGCGCTTTTCCGAACCCCCAGCCTCCACCGCGGCTCGCGATCAACTTTGCCAACTTATCAGGGAGTTTCTGCCGATGCACCAATGGGAAGGAGCACGTCCTTTACGCGTTTTCCT